GGCGCCCCCCGGCGCTGTGTGCCTCCAGCCACAGAGCGCGGCTGAACTGTGGCGTGTCTGCCTGTCTGTCCGACCACAGCCGGCTGTGCTTATGGCAAGTGCGTCTGGGCTTCAGGCAACTGTCCCGTTCTATGCTCTCGTTGTTTGTTCCAAGGCCGCTGAAGGCCACTGGGAGGCTGCAGGATCACCCCGCCAGGCGGCCGAGCCAGCGTCCCTGCTGCTGGTGCCGAGGGACATGCTGAATGCTGCCCGCCCTGGGAGCAGGGGACTAGGGCCTGCCTACACTGTGGGCACTGGCTGCCGGCAGCCGCCCAGCAGCACGAGGGGACAGAGGAGGTCGCTAGTAGCAGCTCTCACTGCTGCGTTCCCAGAGACCCGCGGGTGGCCCCCAGAAGACACTCCCCTCAGGCGTGTGGCCGCCCCAGGGTGCCTGTCAGCCGGCTGATGAACTCCAGCAGCATCCATGAGCAGCGGGGCTTCCTGGCTCTTGACTGACATAAGCCTGCTTGCGTAAGGATAGGGGATTTGGGTGCAGCATGGCTAGGGGATTCGGGTGCACCATGGATAGGGGATTCAGGTGCAGCATGGCTAGGGGATTTGGGTGCAGCATGGATGGGGGATTTGGGTGCAGGGGCATCAAGGCTCAGCTTCAGCCCAGCAGCCCCTGGCTATAGCTGAGTGTGGGGCACCGGGGCTCAGCGCTCCAGCTGCAGGGTCCCGTGGCCCCCCTGAAATGGGGGGTCCCTCCCCTCTGGGTCCCTCATAGAATCATAGAACCATAGAACTGGAAGAGACCTCAGAAGGTCAAGTCCAGCCCCCTGCTCTAGGCAGGACCAATCCCAACTAAATCAACCCGGCCAGGGCTTTGTCAAGCCGAGACTTAAACACCTCTAGGGATGGAGACTCCACTACTTCCCTAGGTAACCCATTCCAATGCTTCACTACCCTCCTAGTAAAATAGTTTTTCCTAATATCCAATCTGGACCTCTCCCACCACAACTTGAGACCATTGCTCCTTGTTCTGCCATCTGTCACTACTGAGAACAGCCTTTCTCCATCCTCTTTGGAACCTCCCTTCAGGAAGTTGAAGGCTGCTACCAAGTCCCCCCTCACTCTTCTCTTCTGCAGACTAAACAGACCCAAGTCCCTCAGCCTCTCCGCGTAGGTCATATGCTCCAGCCCCCTAATCATTTTGGTTGCCCTCCGCTGGACCCTCTCCAATGCTTCTGCATCCTTTTTGTAGTGGGGGGCCCAGAACTGGACACAATACTCCAGATGTGGCCTCACCAGAGCTGAATAAAGGGGAACAATGACATCTCTGGATCTGCTGGCAATGCTCCTCTTAATGCATCTTAATATGCCATTAGCCTTCTTGGCTACAAGGGCACACTGTTGACTCATATCTAGCTTCTCATCCACTGTAACCCCCAGGTCCTTTTCTGCAGAACTACTACTTAGCTAGTTGGTCCCCAGCCTGTAACAATGCTTGGGATTCTTCCGTCCCAAGTGCAGGACTCTGCACTTGTCCTTGTTGAACCTCATCAGGTTTCTTGTGGCCCAATCCTCCAATTTGTCTGTCACTCTAGACCCTATCTCTGCCCTGAACTGAACCTACCTCTTCCCCCCAGCTTAGTGTCATCTTCAAACTTGCTGTGGGTGCAATCCTGGGGGCTGTTGCTGGCTCAGTCCCAGCTCACTGGCAAGCCGGTCCTGGCGGGACAGATGCTGCCCAGCAGTGCGACATGGCCAGGCCGGGTGTCTTTTGAGAGGGTAGCGCCCCTCCCCCGCGCCCTGCTGAGCTGCCCATGGTGCTGGGTGCGCCCCAGAGCCACAGCAAAGAGGTGAACCCATGGCCAGGTGTCTGAACCCAGGACAGCCTGAGCCTGGCTGAGCCCCCAGCGTCAGGGCACAGGGGTGCAGGGCGCTCCCTCGGCTAAGGAGGGCGGCTCTGTGTGCGTCGCAGGGGGCCCACTGGCGTTACCGGGAAGCACACCCGGCCTTAGGCCCTCCCCGCTTCCCAGGGGCAGAGTACGGAGCTGGGGCAAGCTGGGCACTGAGGGCAGGCACAGAGGGGGCGCCGGGCCGCTGACGCCATGTACCCCTGAGCTCTGTGGCCTGGCTTGGCCTGGCGAGCCGCTGGCGCCGCAGCCATCTGGTGTGAGCTGGGAGCCCGGCCGTGAGTGCCCGTAACCAGCAGCCGCACTGGCGCCTGGGCCTGGATTCTGCGCTCAGGGCCGGCGTTAGGAAGTGCGGGGCCCAATTCGAACCAAATTTTGGTTGAGCAAACAAACAAACAAAAAACTAACCTAGGACACAAAGAAACCAGTCACAGCCCCTTTCAATCCCCAGCCACCGGGCAGAGCCCACGGGCTGACGCCCCTCCCGCAGCGCGCCCGGCACACTTCTGTGCATTCCAGAGGCTCCAGGGACACCGGACCGACTCTAACGTCAGGCTACAGGTAGCCCTCCCTAGTCCGGCACCCTCGGGACCTGCTGTCCTGGA